TTCTGAGCAAAATGGGTAAGATAAGGCCACTGAAAATCTAGAGATTCAAAAAGGGGTAAGGTAGGATGGCCCAAGAAGCCTTAAAACCCTTCATTGTTGTTATAAAGTCTTCAAATACAATGAGAAAAATGAAACCCGGGTGCCCACTACTCAGCTCTATTGAATTCCAGCATTTTGCCACTCTTGCTTTAGATTTGTAAGATTTTTAAGTGTTCTTATAAAGAAAGGCTTTTTGAAAAGTACCCATTTCTACATCTGTCCCAGGGAAGGTCTGTTACTGATGGGAATTAATTACATTCTTCAGGTGTACTAGGGGTAGAAAGGTTGGGGCCACTAGACTACTTTTCTGTACTGTAGACACAAATTTGCCTTAAAAGTGACTTGATATTTAAAAGATTTAAAAATCGTTATTTTTCTTTGCCAATAACATAAAATTCAGTCTTCTATTATGCAAATGGCAGTAACCAATAATCTACTTAAACTGTAAAAATACAATCAGTCTATGAAAGCATGGCTGTCCTTATGTGCTGCAGAATGGATGCTCATATATAAAAACTGCCCCCTTACTTGTTGTTTCCTATTGCTCCTTGCTGCCAGGCCTTCATGTCTGGTGACTGGTATCCAGAAGCAGGTGGAGTCTGCTGGAGCAGAGAGCTCTGAGGAGGAGGGATTGGCATCGGCACCATGGAGCTCCCAGGGCTTAGAGATGGAGCAAAGTTGGCCTCACCTTGGGGAACCATTCCTGCAAATTGACATAAATTAATTCATGTGAATACACTATAAATTTATTAACCCCATAAAAGAAAAAAACCCCAAAGGATCTATCATAATATATTTATAAATATTTTATTCAACTGAATAGGGAAAAATTTAGTCTCTTAAAATAAGGCAGGAAATCTCAGTATAAAGAAATAAACAAACATATAAGTTTGGAAGCATGCTTTCCATTCATTAAGTTGTTGATTTGTGCAGCAGGATTATGTATGTTTTTCCTGCTTTTTTGCTAACATGAATTTTTAAGTGTAAAGAACATATATGAACATACATGATGAATTACTTATATAATAAATGTAACTTGAAAAGGGAAAAATAAGAAAAACCCATGTGTGAAAATGAAAAATGATGAAGTTTTGTTGGCTATTCCTCCTCAGTTTTCTCTGTGAGCTCCTCCTCTCTTCTCCTCCCCTTTTTAAAAGCTTTATTGAGACATAATCTATACAACATAAAATTCACCCATTGTGACTGCACAATTCAATGAATTTTAGTCCATTTATAGTGTTGTGTAACCATCACCACAATCCAATTTAGACATATTCAATACCCTCCAAATTTCCTTGTGTCTGTTTGTAGTCAATCCCCATTCTCACTTCCAGTCCCAAGTAACCACTGATCTGCTTTCTTTCCCTAAAAGTTTGCCTTTTTGTGGATACTTCATATAAATATAACAAGACATCGTCTTTTGTATCTTTCTTTCACTTAATATAATGTTTTTGAGGTTCAACCATTTTGTAGCATTTATCGGTAGTTTGTTCCTTTTTAGTGCTTATTATCCAATATAGTTGTGTTGAAGAAAAATCAACTGAGCATAAGAGTTTATTTTTGGACTTTTTATTCTGTTCCAGTGATTTATATGTCTGTTGTACCAATACCACACTGTCTTGATTGTTGTAACTTTATGGTAATTTTTGAAATTAGGTAGCTATCCAACTTTGTTCTTCTTTTTCAAACTTGTTCTGGCTACTCAAGGTCTGTGGCATTTCCATATACATTTTAGGATAAGCTTGTCAATTTCTCAAAAAATTTATAATTGCTGTAATTGTCCCTGTTAATTAATTCTATCATCTATGTAATTTATGGGTTCATTTTTGATTGACTGATTTTTCTCTTCATTACAGGTTGTATTTTTCTGCTTCTTTGCGTGCCTGGTAGTTTTGAAAATCAGGTTCCAGACCTTGTAAACTTTACCTTGTTAGGTGCTGGATTTTTAAAATTTCTTTCAATATTTTCGACCTTTGTCTGAACTGTGGTTAGGTTACATGGAAACAGTTTAATTCTTTTGGGTCTTGTACCCCAAAAGGGTTTAGTCTAGGGCTTATTTTGCTCTGC